TTTCCGCCACTGCCCCAAAACTATGGAATGGCCTGCCGGACGAGATCCGTCTGACTACTACACTTGCTGCTTTTAAGAAAGCGGTAAAGACGGATCTCTTCCGACAGGCCTTCCCAGAATAACATCTGCAGCAACGAGATGAGTTAATTCCTTTTCTCCGAGCTGGCACAATTGATCCTTTGGTTTTATTATATTATAGTATTTTAATTTAATGCATTGCCTTGTTTTAACCTTTTTCGATTTAATTCTGTTTTAAGGGGTGGGAGGGAGATTGTGGGCGCTGGGTATGTTTTAACTTGTTATATTTTAAAATGCTGTAACCCGCCTCGATTGCAATGCAGAGAGGCGGGCTATAAATAAAACTTATTATTATTATTATTATTAATAATAATAATCTCTGTTTTGAAGTGAAGAAACCAAGGCTATCTGAAGTAAAAATGATCCTTTCATTCTGACTTGTGCTCATGTCCCATTGTTGAAAAATGGATTTACTTTTCTTAAATTAGGGAAATATTAATATTATTGCATTTAAAATGCATATAAACTTTGTTCCTTAACAGCAAAGCTTTGTAATTTTAAAAAAGTGAAGTTTGTAGATTCTTTCTCCAGTTTCACTGTTTGCTTTGTTTAATAACCTTGCCTTCAGCATTAGCAGAAGCTTATAAAAGCTCAAACATCATTCCAGCTCTTTTATAAGTACTATGTAAATATGGTTCAGATACAGATATTCCAGTTCAGGAATACATATATTTTTTCACCTCTACAAATGTTACTGTGGTGCATTCAGAAAAATACACCTCTCTCATACACTACATTGAAATATCAATTCTGAGAATTCCATAGCATTGAGCCATGGCAGTCAAAATGGTGTCAAACTGGATTATTTTTGCAGTGCAGATGCAGCCTTAATGATCAAAAACTTTAAAGGACAGGAAACAGAATAGGAATAAATGGTCAGTTCTTGCAATGGAAGGATATAAGCAGTGGGGTTCCTCAAAAATCTGCATTGTGACTGGTGCTTTTTAAATTTATCCATTAACCATCTTGAGTTAGGGGTAAGTAATCAGGTTTGCTGATGTTGCTAAATTATTTAAAGTGAAAAACGAAAACAAAAATGGATTGCAAAGAGCTCCAAAATGATCTATCCAAATAGAGAGATTGGGCAATAAAATGACCAATGGGATTCAGTGTTAGCTAATATAAAGTGTTGTGTTATTGGAATCCAAATTCACATATACTCTGATAGAGTCTGAGATGGAAACAACTGAACAACAAGGGAATTTGAGGTTATAATAGATAAATTAAAATGTTGATCTAGTGTATGTTGTTGTTGTGTGCCTTCAAGTCATTTATGGCAACCCAATCACAGGGATTTCTTGGCAAGATTTGTTCAGAAGAAGTTTGCCATTGCCTTCTGCTTTAAGATTGAAAGCATGTCACCCAGTGGGTTTCCAAGGCTGAATGGGAAATCAAACCCTGGTCTCTGGTATTATAGTCCAACACTCAAACCACTATGCCATGCTGGCTTGATCTAGTGCCGTGTTGGTGAACCTATAGCACGTGTGTCATCTCTGGCACACTAAGCCATTTTGGAGGGCATGTGGAGAGTCAGGAGGGTGGAGGAAGAGGAAGAACAGGCATGCTCCTGCTCCTACTCTTCCCTCTGCCCTCCTGTGCCTTGAACTCTCTCTCCCAGACTCTGGAGGCAGATAAAGCCCCAAGAGGGTGCAGGGGGAGGAGGAAGAACAGGTGCACACCACAGGCCAAGGCCCGGGAACCAGGGGGAAGATGTCCTGCCCCGGAAGTCCCACCCTTGGAGGGTGTAAATCCCACCATGCCCCCAGAGGGCAGAAGTCCTACCTGCAGCACTGGGTAACACCTGGCACCAGAAGGCCTTTTAGTTTGGGCACTTGGCCCCTAAAAGGTCCACCATCACTGACTAGTGTATACCTGCCTTTTTTTTAAAGTGAATTTCATATTGGGCAGAATTAGGAAATAAACTGAAACTGAAACTTCAATACCATACTGCCCATATACAAATACATGGTATTATGACCACATTTGAAATATTGTGTTCCATTCTGGTCACTGTACTGTTGATCTTGATGCTATCAGCAATATGCTCTTTAGTATCACTTTTTGTTGCACTGGATCTCATCTCGGGAGAAAGGCAGGGTATACATTTAATAAATATATGATTTTTTGTTAACTGCCCTCAAGTCAATTTCAACCCATGGCAACACTGTGGATCAGAAATCTCAAGAATCCATGTCCTCTACTGCTCTGCTGAGTTCCTGCAAACCCATACCTGTGACCTCCCTAATAGAGTCAATTCGTCTAGCATGCAGCCTTCCTCTCTTTTTATTTCCCTCCACCTCTCCTAACATTATTTTTTTTTTCCAGTGAGTCCTGCCTTCTCATGATGTGTCTGAAATATGACAGCCCCAGATTTGTCATCTTGGCTTCCAGAGAAATTTCTGGCTTGATCTGCTTTAGCACCCATTTGTTTGTCTTTTTGACTTCCCACAGAACCCTCAGTACTCTTCTCCAGCACCACATCTTAAATGAATTGATTTTCTTCCTATCTTCTTTCTTAACTGTCCAGCTCTTACATCCATACATAGTAATAGGGAAAACAATGGCTTGCACGATTCCAACTTTTGTGGTCAGTTGTATATTTTTCCATGTTAGAATCTTATCTAGTTCTTGGAATTATGCATGGTAATAGCAGTAGATAGAAAAAAACCTTTCCTCCCTCTCTCCTTCAGTATCACCACTGAAGCTAAGTAGGTTCAGAACAGAGTCAGAATCGATAAAATTATTTCTACACAGCATATGGTCAAACTGCCACAAGATGTGATGAATGCTTTAAAATTGGGATTAGATGGGGCTTTGGGGTCCATGAATTCCTACCTGGCATGAAAGCTGTATATCATTTCCAGTATCAATATTAGTATGCCTCTCTATGGCCCAAAATTCACAGGCCAAATAAAGCAGTTTCTAGCCATTTTGGGGGCTGACATTTAGAGTACTCACACTCCCAAAGTGGCCAGAAGCCACTCCAAGGCCGCACTGAGGTGGCAAGAGCCAGAACTTTTAGGAGTGGATTAAATTTTAGGACTGCCGTGGCAGCCCACTTTGGAAGTGGACCATGTGGTCACTGTGGTCCTAGTGTGATCAGGTCCAGAGTGGCCAGAGGCTGCTCCTTTGGGGCGGGTCTGCTTCAGCCCATAGTAGTTGCCAGGGTTTGGTGGAAAGTGTCCCAAAGACAACTCATTGTTCACAGTTTGAACAGATCATTAGACTGGACAGTTATTTGAACCAAAACAGCATGCCTATAAACCTTCAGTTCTGCACAACATATGGTCCGTGGGTTGCTTGTGGCCCGCTAAAAGATTTCACGTGGCCCATGAGCATTTCAGGTTTCCTCCACTGCCTAGCTTTCTCTTGGGAAAAAGCCAGGCTGTGGAGGAGGAGGAAGTGCCTCCACCACAGCTGGGCTTTTCCCTGATGAGAAGGCTGGGTGGTGAGGAGGAGAAAGGGGGAGCAACAGGTGCCTCTCAAGACTCCTCTGCCACCTAGTCTTCTTCCGAGGAGAGGACCGGGCAGAGTAATAATAGTATGGAATAATAATAATAATAATAATAATAATAATAATAATAATAATAATAATAATAACTAATTGATAATTAGTAATTAACATTTAATTACTGATTAAAATAGTTTGTTCATTAAGTATACCTTTACTTGGAAAATGAGACACTCAAAACTTATCTGCAGCCCAAAAAAGTTTAGCCTATTTTAATTTTAATAAGTCCCTACTTACTTCAAAATTGTTCAAATTGCTTTAGTTGGTCTTCTTGTTGGGGAATGCTGGGATGTACAATCCAAAAAACAACTTTTCAAAACCATAGTTTGACATACCTATGGACCTTCACTGTGTTCTAGTAGTGTATGTGTATGTGTGTGTAAGTAAACAGAAGCAGATGAAAATAAATAAATATAATAAATGCATAAACAAATACACAGATGATGAATAGTAAACGTAAAAGGTAAAGGTTTCCCCTTGACATGAATGACTAGTCGTAACTGACTGTAGGGAATGGTTCTCATCTCCATTCCTAAGCTGAAGAGCCAGCATTGTCTGAAGACAGCATTGTCCAGTGGTCATGTGGCTAGCATGACTGCACGGAATGCTGTTACCTTCCCACCGAAGTGGTACATATTTACCTATTTCCATTTGCATACTTTCAAACTGTTAGGTTGGCAGAAGCTGAGGCTAGTGATGAGAATTCAACTCTTTCACGTGGCACTAGGGCCTTGAACTGCAAACTTCCGACCTTACAAAAATCAAATTGGCATCTTAATCACTATGCCACCACATCCCTATGATGAACAGTACATTTTCAAAAATGTTCAGGGTTATTAAATTTATTCTCAAGAATTTACTACTCAATCGGTTCACTTAAATAAGAATGGTATTGTATTATTTCAAATCACTATGCTTTGAAATTGATTTTCACAGTATTGAAACTCTGATTGTCCTTTACTTGAGTGGATGAGAGTCTAACTAATACATGATAGCATCATCTACAATTTCTTTGAATGTGGAGTCATATCATTTAAAAACAATGCATGGGTGACATGAATGAGATGATGTAATACAGTGGTCCCTCCAGATTGAAAGGGGTTAGGGAACAGGACCCCCACGAATATGGAAATTTTGCGAATAAGGTAAGCCTCTCCCACCTCCCCTCTGATGCCTGGGATGGTTTTCCGAGACATGGAAGGGCCAGAGCGACCTTGGCCAGCTCTTCCCCTGCCATTCCCTGCTTTTAACCGGAGCTGGGAAGCCAGTTAAAGGGATAGGATGGTGGAGGGAGCAAAGAGGCACAGGCACATGCCTGTTTCTCCTCATCCCTATCTCCTCTTGCCCCTTCAGCTGGCCCTGGGATGGGACTGGAGGGTGGAGGGATGAGGAGAAGCGAGTGTGTACTGGCTTCTCCTCATCCCCTCGCCCTTCCATCCCTTCAGCTGGCTTCCCATCACCAGCTAAAGGGATAGGAGAGCTGGGTTCGTGAATAATCAAATCCATGAATCTGAAGTCCACGAATCTGGAGGAACTATTGTATTTCCAGTGGGACCTCATACCTGCTGGGGTTCGTTTCCAGAACCCCCTGGTAGATACCAAAATCCATGGAGGCTCAAGCCCCATCATATACAATGGTATAGTAAAATGGCATACCTTATATAAAATGGAAAAAATCAAGGTTCACTTTTTGGAATTTTTTTTATGAATAATTTCAAAACATGATTGGTTGAATCCATAGATGCAGAATCTGTAATTATGGAGGGCTGAATATATCTTTTCTTCTACCATTATTCACAATTCCTTCTCCAACTTGAGAAAGTTGCATTGAGTATATCCTAAAGCTGCCAGGTGAAATAAGGGACAGAGTTCCTATACTTTTAATAGCTGTATAAAAGCTTGTGAGACAACCAACCTCTGCTGAAATTCCCTCTTCTAAATCATTAAAGGTGCAGGGAATCTATTGCTTGTCTCAGCTGGCAACCTAGTGCTGACATCATCAGCCAGAGCTTGGAAAAGTTATACTAAAAACTAATAAATAAAATGTTATTGTTGTGTTTTGCATGCTGACTTTACTAAAACATTACTTTATAAATTGATTTCTTAAATCCCTTTAAAATGTAAAAAACACGACCAAAATATCCCAAAGTATCCAGTCCTAAAGTGTCATTTACGTAAATAGAGAAATATTACTTGTATTAACATCTTAATGTTCACCTTGTTCTTGTTAAAATGCTTATAAATTATTATTTAAAATAAAAAGTAACTACAGTTGTCCCTCCATTTACAGCTTTAACTTTTGAGGATTTGATTATTTGCAGTTTTGATTAATATGTCCTCTCTAGGAATCTCTAGATCCTCCAGCACAACTCTGCCAAAAGATGACCATAGAGTTGTTCTGGAGGACTTAGATGTTCCTAGAGAAAACACTTATCTGGGCATTTGTAGGTCCTCCAGCATGATTCTATGATCAACTTTTGGCAGATGTTGACCATAGAGTTGCATTGGATGACCTGGAGATTCCTAGAAAAATGTTTTCTTAGGTTAAAATAATAGTGTTTTTTTTAATTTGTGGTTTTTCCACATTCACAGGGGTCCTTCATCCCTAACCCCAGCAAATGTGGAGGGACAATGTTACTTTTGATGTGTTAGTCCAAAGTGCTGTGAAGCTACCTGTTGGTTCACTTACCATATAGTGTTTAGGTTGTCTAGTCCAAGTGGATTTTTAAAACTCCATTCTGAAAACCATTGAGTAGAGATGTCCATTTCCATTTTTATTGCAGTTGACTTTGTATAATAAAGGCTGACTCATACATATAAGCTACTCTGAACAGAATAGCAAGTCTTGCTTCAAGTGATTTACACACTGTGAATAAAGGATTCCTGATATATGTGGCTGAAGAACATAATGTTAATTATTTAAATACAAGGTTCTTT